CCTTACTAGGAAAAAAACCTCATGGAAAAAAAATCTGAGTGAAGGAAAAAAAGTACTTAATTCTTTCCAAGAATACTTTCTTAAAATATTGTCTCATTGAAAACCTTACCAAGAAAAACTCAGTATGAAAAATCTTGATGAAGAGAAAAAGTACAATACATATTTTAGTCCCTTTGATGACTGTATTATTTAAAATTTTTAAAATGACTCATTTCAATCTTTTGTACCACCTTTTCAAATATTGTAATAAGAAAGGTTTTGATGAATAAATGTACTAGATTGTCACTTAAATGAATTTGTTGAATACTAATATCACATTTTTCTTAGAAATCATGAATGAAGAATTTTTGATAAAATATGTTTTGTTCTATCGCTTTTAATGTATCTTTCCTTTAATTGGGCTATGCAAGTGATATTTATAAGAAAAGGTATTTGTATACTTGAAGCTTGCTACTTTACAATGTTATGTATATCTATATATATATACAAAATTGTGATGATCAGAAAATTATGGTGAAGATTTGGAAAGCAGATTTCATGAAGGCAAATCCTTAGGAAGCAGATTTCATGGAGGCAAATTCTAGTTTGACAGATTTTGGCAGATTTCATGCTTTGAAGATTTGAGAAGCAGACAGATTTTGGCAGATTTTATTCTTGAAGGTATTGATTGTGTGATTTACACTGATGTTGAAAAATCTGGTAAGTTAATGTTTTGCTGTTACTTAATGACTTTCCTTTTGTTGTCCTTTATATGCCCTCATAAGATGGTGGAGCCATTGGTGACACCAATCTTGGACCTTAAGTACAAAAACCTTTGCTTAGCAAGAGGCTTGGTGAGTCCATCTACAAGTTGATCAGTTGTTGGAATGTAAGAGATCGTAAGTTGTCCATTTTGAATTTTGTTAGCATACAAAGTGGTAGTCAAGAGGTACATGCTTCATTCTTGAGTGAAACACAAGATTGGAACTTAAGTATGTAGCTCCAATGTTGTCACAGTGCAAGACTGATGTGGAGGAAAAAGACACATGCAGTTCATTGAAAAGATTCTTGATCCAGATTAGTTCTGTAGTGGTGTTGACAATAACTCTATATTCCGCTTTTGTGGAGGACCTTGCCACTGATCTTTGCTTGGATGATTTCCAGGATACAGGATTACTTCCAAGATATATTATGTAAGCAGTAGTGAAGGTTCGATCATCAAGATTTCAAGCCCAATCAGAGTCACTGAATGTAGAAATTTGTAGGGATGATTGTTTGTTTAAGTACAGCCCATGATGAATGGTGCCTTTCAAATATCTCGAAATTCTTTTGAGACTTGACCAGTGAGTAAGAGTTGGTGAATGCATAAATTGAGATAATTTGTTGATGGAATAAGTGATGTCAAGTTTGGTTAGTGAAAGGTATTGAAGAGAACCAATGAGCTTTCTATAATCTGATGCATCAGCTAAACTGGTTCCATCTTTGAGTTGCAGCTTGACATTGGTGGCCATTGGTGTGGCAACTTCCTTAGCATTGTCCATTTTAAATTTTTACAGTAGTTCTCTGATATACTTGTATTGAGATAGGAACATGCCTGTAGGTATTGTGGTTATCTCCACTCCCAAAAAGAAATTTAAAAGTCCAAGATCTTTTAAAGAGCTGTTGCAAAAAGTTTTTCAGTGTTGTATCATCATTGCCAGTAACCAATAAGTCATCAACATATACCAAAAAATAAATAACGACAAAATTTTTGGTATAAATAAATAACGAAGCATCCGAAATTGAGTTTTGGAACCCATAACCAGTTAAGGAAACTGCTCAATTCTTGATACCAAGCACGAGGAGCTTATTTAAGACCATAAATTGCCTTGTGAAGCTTGCAAACATGAAGGGACTTATCTTTGTCCAGAAAACCAGGGGGTTGTGCCATGTAAACTTCTTCAAGTAAAGTTCCTTGAAGAAAGGCATTGTTGATATCAAGTTGTTGAATAGGCCACCCATAAGATAAAGCAATGCTCAAAATAATTTTGATGGTAGTAGGCTTAATAATAGGACTAAATGTGTCTGTATAGTCAATGCCTTCACGATGATGGAACCCTTTTGCCACTAATCTCGCTTTATACCTATCTATAGAGTTGTCTGGCTTTCTTTTGACCTTGAACACCCATTTGCAGCCTACAACATTCTGCTTGGAAGATGGAGGAACTAATACCCAGGTTTGATTCTTAACCAATGCATTGAACTCTTCTGTCATGGCTTGTCTCCATTTTGGGTCTTTCATAGCTTGGCTAACACACGTGGGTTCCTGGGTCTTTCATAGCTTTGCTTGGAAGTTGATTATGTGATTTGCATTAATGCTGGAAAATCTGGTAAGTTAATGTTTTGCTGTTACTTAATGACTTTCCTTTTGCTGTCCTTTATATATTATCCTCATATAACGTTGTGAGAATTTTTTTCTTAGTTGACAAGCCACATGTTTCTTGAATATATTGAGTTATAGATCTTAATTAGGCACATTCATGACTTGCTTCATTAATTGCTAAAATTTCTATATGGTTAGAAGAAGTAACAACTATGTTTGAACAAAGGATATAGAAGGATTTTAGTATAAATTGATTCTCTTATGGTATTTTAGAAAATTTCAAGGGAGATTTCAAATTTGGATCCTTATGCTAATACATTGAGAAGAATTAAGGACCTGTCACAAATGAACTAGGATTATTTTGTTACCCACATACTTCGTGAAATCAATTAATGTGCAGATTGGATGGCAACATACCATGATAATTTATAATTGGGCTTGCATGTATTTAATAGCATCCCATCTAATATTTCTACTCTTTTATTTGGAGATATGTTTGGTATTGTTTGGCCAAGGATAAAGTAATTGTTTTAAATTAATCTATTTCCCTTTTATAAAAAAAAAAGAAGAAGAAAAAGAAAGATAGATTTATATATATTAAGCAAAATCATAGTCAAAATTCAACGAAAAAATCATATATTGAGAAAATTATATTCCAAAACTAGAACAAAGATACCATATATAATTATATATATTTTCATGCACAACTTGATGCAATAAATCAAATGACAAAATATGATAAATACTTCATAATAGAAAAATTCACATTAAGGTTAATTTTTAGGAAATGAAAACACCAAAAAAACATCAAGTCACTTACTTGATTCGCTAAAATTAAAAATCAAAAGCCAAACATTGAAATCCTTTTGAAGCTTGGAAAAATGAAACTTCAACTTTAAGATGTTGATGAAAATTAAATGATACCAAAACTTAAAAGATTAAAGAATTGTATTAATAGCGTATTATGAAATATAACCTAAAAAAGCATCAATCAAACAAAGTAAGAATTTATCTTATTCAAGAGTATATATTTACAAATGAAGTAAAAAGCCTATTTATAAACTAAAGGTAATGCTAAAGGATTTGATTTGGATATATTAAACTCAAATTTTAATTCAATCTAAGCTACATCTAAATTTAGATATACATAAATATAAGAGTTCAAATCAAATTACACTCCTATGTTTGGCTTGTTAGGCTATTTGGCCTATCTCGACTGCCTGACCTGGTATGAATTATTGGATTATGACATAATGGATATTCATATATATATATATATATATATATATTCATAACAGTCACATCAATTTTTAAAAATAATTAAATAGATTTTTAAAATTTATTAAGACATAAACTAGTATAAATTAAATAAAAAAAGGGGACTGTGATGCTATGGCTATGTAGACTAAAGAAATTTCTGATCTTTAAATAAAGTATTGTTTTAATCTCTAATCTTTCTATCCTTATAGATTAAATCTTGATTTATTGTATTTGATAGAGAGAGATGATTTAAAGGGTAAAAGAAATGAAGGGAAATTGGAAAATGGGAAACTTGTGAATTGGATAATCTTTTGATTGAGACATGCTATAATTTTTAATGTTTTCAAATACAAGAATAAAAAACGTGTAGAATGGGATGGGGAGGATATAGATTTGGGGGACATGGTTTAAAATAAGGAGGAAACTCAATGTCATTAACATATATAATTTCATTTCTTTTCTGTCAATGGCATTTCAACACGTTTTGCACAATCAATTATACTTTACTCAAAAATGTTAAAAAAAAAAAAGCCAAGCAAGTATTTGTTTTCTTGTAAATACTCTAGAAAAAGATAGAAATTGGTTTAAATATCATATATAAAGTGGCCCTCTCTCTTTGGGGCCCTTTGGCCTTTTGCTTCTCTCTATATGACATTACTAGTGTATTTTAATCAAATTGAAACTCAAGAATAATGCAAGAATAAAAAAAAATTTAAGAGAATTTACTTTCTCACCAAGTTAAAATTTTTTTAAACATTTCAAGGTAAAACTAAACTATGAACCTAACCATTTATTTTGACTTATTCTTACTATTATCAGCATGATATAACTTCCACTTATTTTACTTGTTCTTATCACTCACTATATCGCATTATACTTATTACAAAATAATTTTTATAAAATTAATAAATTTATAACCAAAATCAAGTACATATAATATATGTAAAAAATTTCTCAATGATTTAACAGAAAATTAAGTTAACAGTGCTATCATAATTGTATTGCAATATAATAATATCATAATCTAACATAATCATATTAATTTAACTTATAAAGTATCTGTACAATTACCGTAATTATGTTAACAAGTATCAAGTCAAAAGGTCATGTTTGGATTAGTTCACAGCCTAAGGTTGAATCTATGTCGAGTGCTATGGAGTGGAGGAATACATGTGGGTGGGCGGGGGGCGGGGCCCGCAGTATGGTGGAAAGCAATGGAATGTGCTAAAACCGTGTCTCCAAAGTCCAAACGAATCTGTCAAAGTTCAGACAGATTTTAGCCATGCAGCGTTCATTGGCAGATTCCTGTCTTAGTTAATTCTCACTCATACAGGAACGCACGCCACATAGAAATTTCCAAGTCCTCACTCAAGCACTTTATAAAGCCCTGTTTCCTTCCTCGGTCTTCTACTTTCCATAACAGATATCATCCTCAATTTCTAATTTCTTTCCCACTCTCTCTCGCTCTCTGGCAACCCCTGAAAGGATTCAGAAACTGTACAAAGTTTTTCAAGAAGTTTCATTGGTTGGCTGATAGAAATGAAGCTAATTAAAGCTGGAGAAAAAAGATATGCTCTCTTGCTGGCAGCCAGGGACTCTGATTATGTGAACAAAGTGTATGGGGGTTATTTCAATGTGTTTGTTGCTGCTTTTGGAGAAGAAGGAGAACGCTGGGACTTGTTCAGGGTTGTTGATGGAGAGTTCCCTGACATGAATGAGCTCCATAAATATGATGGGTTTGTAGTCAGTGGCAGTCCCTATGATGCTTATGGGAATGACTACTGGATTCTCAAGCTTTGCTTCCTGCTGCAAACTCTTGATGCCATGGAGAAGAAAGTTCTTGGGATCTGCTTTGGCCATCAGGTACTAAATCTGGAACCATATTCTCTTGATTTCTCTGTAATTTCCAACAATCTCTACATCCCAGAATGTTAATTCCATTGTTTTTTGGTTTTTTTGTTCCACAGATTTTATGCAGGTCAATGGGGGGAAAAGTTGGGAAGGCATGTACTGGATGGGATATTGGGCTGAGGAAAGTAAAGATTGTGAAAGATTTGTCAGTGTCCAGCTTCCTGGAGGACTTGGATGAAATACCCCCTTCTCTTTCGATTATAGAGTGCCACCAGGATGAGGTATGGGAGGTCCCTATGGGAGCTGAAGTTATTGCATTCTCAGACAAGACAGGTGTTGAGATGTTTGCAATTGGGCAACACATTCTTGGCATTCAAGGCCACCCTGAGTACACCAAGGACATCCTTTACAGCCTCATCGATCGCCTTCTCAACAGCAATTCCATTGAGGTAACCAGGCAGCTCCGGTTCCTTCAGTTCTAAACGAATTTGATTTCTTCTTTCCCTTTGGGTCCTCATTTTGCTATTGTTTGATGTTTGTTAAATACAGAGAGGTTTTGCTGAGAACGCCAAAGTTGGATTAGAGATAGCTGAACCTGACAGGAAATGCTGGGAAAAGATATGCAGGAACTTTCTCAAGAGAAGACAGAATTTCACCTTTTCTCCAATCTGATAAAGGGTTATCTTTGATTCGTTGGAATCTTGCAAGATCAAGTTTCTTGGAACTAACCCAAGTATCTAACTCGGTTAAACCTTCCATACACTTTGTATGCTTTCCGCGTCTTTCCTTGACATATAACAAAGTCAAATGCATTAGCCACCGACACAACTGTCTGCCACATCTTATCAAGTATACATGATCCTTGAAATTTGGAGAAAAGATACAAATATATTTGTTGCGCATTTCACTAACAACTAATTAACAACTCAAACTAACCAAGTTGTTTGATATTATTATTCTTATTATTTGTAAAAAACAAATCTACTCTTCAATACACCATTAAGAATGCACGTACAGAAGTTTTGCAAGACTGTTTAAAATCTTGTCCACTTAATTGTACACTTAAGTAATTATTTATAATTCAAACGATATTTTTTTGAAAGATTATAATTCGAACATTTGACTTAATGTTAGATGCACAATTCTCTATCAATGAGTTGAGTTTGATTTTTTTTTTTAAAAAAAAAAGAAAGTGGAAGTTTAATGGGAATGAATGTAGGGTGTGCATGCTATCCCGACTTTGAATAATGCACATTTATATTATATGCATGGGAATATAATTGGAACCCTATTCTTGTAGATATACCATGAAAAAACAAATGGAGGAACCAACGAATCTTAGGAGGCTAATGCTTGCGTTAGCTTTAGATGCTTGCTTCCTGAAATTCTTTATTTATTTTGTCTTTTTCAATTGGATGGAGTGTTGGGTTTGCTTTAATATAGGAAACCAAATGCGTGTGTGGATAAATATAAACTCCCATTAGTTAATCAAGTCGGCGAAGCTGCTTTCACCCCTAATGCTAGTATATTAAGATTAATTTATCTTTAATTAAATAATATCTCAATTGGCAATATTGGGGCCAATTAGTCACCATGAATCAGCCATTTTTGGAATCTAAAAGTATAAGCAAGTTAGAGATGGAGTATCAATATTATCAAACATGGTAGTTGTATATCATTCAAGGAATTACACAACTAATATTATGAATCATTATTTTTTTGTATACGTGTAATCATCTTCCTCTTTTTTACGGTAATATGAAATTTATATCAAAAATAAAACAACACAACATAAATGTATTTTGCCTTTGAACCTAAAAATAGCTAAATCAAATAAAAATAAGTTTTTAATAAAATTAACACCATTAATCACATGCTTACCAGAGTATCTCATGTAAAGGGGAAACTTTTAATCTTTTCATAGTACGTCTTTAAGTTCAATTAGATCTCGTGATGAGATTAAAAACAATAACGGTGAGATTGATAACTCGGTCATTAGATTGAGAATTACAGTGATGAGATTAAAACTAACAGTGACATAAAATGTGTTCCATGAAAAATAACAGTGAGGGTGAGGCGACATGTGATGAGAAGAGAGGAGAAGGTGACCATTAAAGGCACTAGTTTATGATTAACATATTTTGTATAAAGTGAATAAATTATTTTTTATATAATAATAGTTTTTGTTATATAATAATAATACTTAAATTTTACACACGTCAAGATTAATAAAGTACTACTACATTCATGTATATTTTGTATCTTATTTGATATTTTAAATAAAAAAATATTAACACATAATATTTGATATTAACATAATTTTTGATATAACAATTAGTCAAAAAATGACAGTGATAAAATAATAATTATTTAAGATGCCATTTACATTATTATATATTTATTAACTTATTAAAAAATTAGTAAAACCTCGTGCAGATATTTGTGTAAAAATTTCATATTAGGAGGGTATTTTCGTGACATACAATTCTATCAAAGGCCAAAAAAGCAAGGGAAGGTTAAGAGTACAATGGTCCGGGTTGAATGCAATAAGGCCATTGGAACCTCGAAGTCCAGGTGTGCTAAAGGTTGCGATGCAATGGGCATGGTCCAATCAAGCTGCTCAATGCCCAACAGATGGTCACACCACTGTATTTTACCACCGCAATGGAGGTGCCGAACAGGGCCTCAATCAAGCTATGACACAGAGTCCTGCAATCAGGGAAAAAGAATGAAGTGATTGTTGAGGCATAACCTTTGCTACCTTACATTACATGGGCACAACTCAGGGAATGAGCAAGGAACCTTCAACCTTGGGTCAATCAATCTCTATAAACATGAAAACCACAATTAAGACAGTTGAATGCCTCTGACAAGTCATTTTCATTTTTCTCAGCCAATGTGACCAAGATCCAACTCTGCATTCAGATGAGCAACCCAACATGGGGAGCTAAGCTTTCCTTACAGTAGTATTACATCAAAGCCAATTGAAAGGGGATTTTGGAAATGTTTTAAGTGAGAAAAATACTTTTTTTTTTCAACAATGTTGAAACTTGACTCATCTTGGTTCTTTCATTTTCTTTCTTCTTTTCAATTTTTTTTTCACCCATTCTGGCCTGGTAAGACTAATTTACAACAAACCAGCCAATCTAAACATGCAACTGATACAAATTATACAGTTATGATGGCTAAGCAAGCAGTTGAAGATCTCCTGCGTTTTGAGCCCCAAGAAAGATCCAACTTAACAATCTTTCTTTTGGTCCCAAGATAACCTTGACAATTTGAAGCACCACAATAGCACTTCACTTCGGGTCCAAATTGCACAAACCTACACAAGCAAAAGCCAAACAAAAAGAAGTATTCAGTATTTTGGTGTTTTTTTTTATATAAAATGGGTAAACTTTAGCATCTGTCGCTATGCTTGAGGGATCCACTCCAGATTCCACAATGAGATGAGAAGTTGTGTTCACAAACTATATAACCCCATAAAGTCACTTCTATCATGCAACGATCCTCTTATTAAAAAGAAACATGTTACAAGCTCTTCTATATCTATGGACCAATAGGTAACTTACATGAAGTCATGAAGTCCATGACTACAGTTTGATAAAGAGATGATGCAGCTTTTATTACCAGAGAACAATCACCAACGGCAGCACAGACTTCGAATTTAATCTTACATAATGCAACAGAGGCAAACTTTCTTTAAGGACAAGATAACATGGCATATTAATCAGTAAACCTTGATACAACGACAATAAACTCGGCATTTTCCCACCAACTGAGATCAGCAAACCAATGATGTTGCCATTTATATCTATAAGTTTGATATTAGAGTGACATTTAATAATAAAGATCTCATCATATGAAGAACTCAAAAATCAGCAAATCATTAATTACACATTAGATACATCTTATTGTTTTCTGTTCTCTTCTGTAAGTACTTTAGCTTTGGGGCAATTTGTAAGCACCACAAAGCTATGATTCAGATTCTATTCTTTCATGAGAATGGTAAAAAGAAAGACCTCTATTTCCTAAATTTCTGATGTGATGATTGCATAGTCTGTGCCATTGACCTACTGAAAAAGGAGTACATGAAGCCAGGAGATCTGTATCTCATTTAGAAAGCACTAAACATACAATTGTGCATCAACATATACATAGTTCACATCATGTCTAGATAAGCTTTTCAGAATCCGAACCCACTGCAAGATAGGAATATACTAATCTATCAATTTTCTCAGGAACAAATTCACAAGGCAAAAGGTAAAAACAATATGATAGTCAAGGTTCATTTACCAAAGTACGCCACCTATTGCAGTTTAACGTTTCTTTCCAGAAAAGGAAAAATCATAAGAATAATAAGAAAATTTCAATGGCCATAATGCCAAACTAGATTTTGGAGAGAATAGGTGAAAATAATCAACGTGAGAAAAAATAAAATGGAAGAAAAAAATAGTTAACTATAGGAATGAGTGCTTTTCTTCCACTTGCAAGTGTGAAACTTATTAGAAATAAATTAAATAAAAAATATTATCTAAATCCTCATTTATAGAATTATTAAATGACATTTATATCCTTCATTTTATATAATTTAATTTATTTTTTTGGTAAAATGCACCAACTAAGTTAATGTCAGTTGACTCATGACACCAAATGCAATCGAGGGCATTAGTAATAGTTAGTGTAGATGTCCACAATCAAGTCTATATTCATGCATCGTTATAGTTGTAAATTGCAATATACTGAAAACACAAAAATGGCATCAAGTTAGGCTGTGCAATCAGTTTTCAGACCCATGCATACCTGTAGTCATATGTCAGCGGCTCACCAACTTCAATTGATCGAGCAGCGAACACACCCACTCGTGTTTCCCCTTCAACTTGCCTGACAAAATAGCAGTTTCAAATGGTTAAAACCAAATATTACCAAAGAAGGTTCTACTACATTGGCTTTAGCATAAAAAGAATCCTGCCAAATACACATGAACCTGAATGTTTTGGTGAGAAAATAAGAATCCAAGTGGCACTAAAATTCTACTCTAGAGGTATGAGAAGTAAATAGGATTTTGAAGCCAGCTAGCCAATGGCCCCAAAAAATCTAAGCTAACTAGTGTAGTCCACTAAGCTGTTTGTAATTTCTTATCAACAAATGCTGGCAAATATCTGCCCAAGAAATTGTAGAACCCAAATATGGAAAAACATATAAAGAAAGAAATGTGAAAAAATTCAGTTGACAGCATTTGGCCTCTGAAGCTTTCCAATATTTTTTTAAAAGAAAAAAGAAAGTAAAGAAGAAGAAAAAATAAACTGTTGTTGCTAATTCCAAACATATTCCTAAAATATCTAACTAATGTACACTAATGATACAGCAAAATCACAACGGTATTCTTCTAATTAGCCAACATTCAAATAAAGGAAAGAAAGATTCGCTTCAGTTCTCATCTATTCTCTTTCTGTATTTCTCTCATTGCTTAGACAGATGCATAGCTATTTGAACAAAAATCTTTTGCTAGGCATTTATACAATCTAAAGCCACAGACAAGGATAATAGCTGGGTGCATGCAAGTGGAGTTTCCTAGAAAATGAGCATACAGTATTTGCAATAATGCCCTCCAATCTTAAAGCAACCATAAGTTTTTACAGCATTTAACAGCCACAACATAAAAAAGCAATATCATTATACAAACCACTTCTCCAAAACACAGTTCGGATCACAGCCGTGATTTAAAAAACGAGATGTGTTCCCTTTAAAAGTTGCATCTATTGTGAAGTCTTTCCGAATTTCACACATGTAAAAGTTCTTCACCCCCTTGTACTTCATGTCCCAAAGCCTCTTTTCGCACTGAGCATCATCAATTACTGTAAACAAAGATAGTTATAATTAGTATTCAGCTCTCAAATAAAGAAAAGGAAAGATGAAACAGTAAGGAAGGCCATCCACAAAATCAGATGATAAAAAGTGTGCTTATATTCATTGTACATATGAAATTCCACAGTACAATCAGGC